TAAAAAAAAGGTAATCTGTACTGTGTTATCACAGATCCACTTCATAAAGGCAATCAAAAACACATTTATATAAAAAAATTAGTTGTATCAAAGTAAATTTACATAAAAAATCTTTAATTTCTCTTTCAATTGTCTGTACTTTCAAATAACTAAAACTTAGGCAATATTATTATATTTTTTATAAATTGGTTCCCTAATTAACTTATAATATCATTAATTCTTAAAAAATATACACACATGTGTACATACACATACATACATACACACACACACACACACACACACACACATACACACATTTTTAACCCAGCATTTTACATTGGAAAATTTCAAGCATATATAAAAGTAGATGGTAGTACAGTTTACCCTATATATTATACACCACCTGGCTAATCATTAAATAAAGGCCAATTGTGTTTTTATGCCCAAACACTGGCTGCACCTCACTAGATTTTTTTTTGACTTAAAAAAAATAACAGTACTACTTCAATGCAAAATTTCTTCTTGGATGTTTTTAGTACAGAAATTTATTTGATATGTATCAAAACAAGATTCCCAGTTGTATTTGGTTGATATAACACTTAGAGTCTCTTAATTTATACTTTATGTGTCCTCTTTTATTTCTTTCTATTGATTAGCTTAAAAAACCTTGTCATCTGTCATGTAGTTATGTAGTTTCTCCTTGTCTAGGTTTTTTCTGATTGATTGCATCCTCTTGGTGACATTTAACATGCTCCTCTGTTTCTGTATTAGCTGAATCTGGTAGCTTGGAGTGATTTCTCCTTTCCCTTCTCTCCCCTACCCCCCCCCCTCTCCTCTCCTGGCCTCTAAAGAATATTTAATTAGTGGTCTTAAATGCTTCCTTTACAAAGTACATATTCTGGTTGTCTGTCTTTTAGTGGTCATTGATAATCATTGACTAGATCCAATACTATATTAGGGATTTACAAAATGATAATTTTGTAGTTTTGACATTTTTAATTGATGAAATTTGAATATACACATATACAGAGTAATTTTCCATGATCAGTTGTTTAGCTACTCTGAAATGCACTTTATACAGAAAAGACAGATTAAGTATTTACTTTTATTTGCTAGTTTTCAAAAATATAACTGTAACATTTCCAAAAATAATCACTGCTATTTTTCTTTGCGGTATAAATACGAACCCATGAATTTTGACATGTTAGATATATTGAAGTTATTATTTTTACTAATACTGAAATTGGCCATATTTTGATACAATTCACCCCAGTAAGAATTTTCACTATGGACCCTAAATTTTTTGGAAAATGTATTCGTTTTATGGTATAATAAGGTGTCCAGAATCAACTAGTATTATTTTCTGTCTCATCCTGGTAAAAGAGACCTGGTTCCTTTGAAAAAAAATGTATCTAGAGTCTACTATCTAGACACTAGAAGTGACACAACACTGAATTCTGATTGTTCCAAATCTTTTCAAGTAGGCAGAGCTAGGAAACATATTTTTTAAAGAGGAAATATGCCATGAATGCTCACAATGTTTTCAATTGCAATTTAATACTGTAGGTTTTTTTTAATCAAAACATTAGATTTTATATATGCTTTTCTCATATACTGAGAATCTTCATTATGAATGTCATTAACATTATTATTTTTATTGTCACTCAACATGTATACCTGTATATACCAATACTATTAATAACAATGTTATTATTGAAAACAAGTTAAGATTTATTTTGTCATTAGTTTTTGTCCTTGAGATACATGCTATTATGTAGAGACCATCAATTTACTGTGTTTTAAAACCACTTAAAGTAATTCCTTTTTTTGAACAGCCAATTCAATATAGAATTAGATTCATTTGTTTCATTTTGATTTTGAAATTTTAGGGATATTTTTATATTGATTTAATTCGGTTTATAATAAATGGAATATTTACATGGCTTTGAAGTTAAATCTAGAAAATAAAAATACATATCCAGAGTATTTTCTTTCCTATCCCCTTTATCCTGTTTGTTTTGCCTTATATCATGAAGAAATAAAAATATATACCTGCCTGTATTAGAAAACACATATATTTCCACACTGAGATAAATTAGAGCCACTCTGTACATTTCTGCATTTTGCTTTGTTAACTTACACTGTATAGAGATTATTCCATTGCATTCTTCAAATATGTGTTTCAATTTTTTTGTTTTACTGCTGCCTACATTTCCATGGTGTTTATTTACTATACATTATTCAGTCAAACCCCCTTTGATAAACTTTGGGGTTTTTGGCTTCTTCATAAAAGTTCTAGAATGAGTGTGGGTTTGTAAATCAATTCACATCCAATTGTATCTCTGATGTAGACACTTGAAAACTTAATTGTTAGCACAAAGGGAAAACACATACATAAATTTTTAAAATAATGCTAAATGTTCTTCATAGATGTTTCTCTATTTTACAAATGAATTTCTAACTTTATAAGAAACAACTGTATACATTTTATTTTTGGGTGGGGGTAGGGCTATTTGTTTATTTAATAGCTTTGTTTTGATGGGAGTTTCTGTCATCAATAGTATTTGCTAAATCTAATTTGTTGTGAGTATATGATGCAAAATTATCAATATTCAAATATATTCTCTGCTGGGTATATGCCTATAATCTCAATAAATTGGGAGATTGGAACAGGATGATCACAAGTTCAAGGCCAATCTCAGCAACTTAGATTCTGTCTCAAAAACAAAAAAAAAATTTTTAAGGGCTGGGGTATAGCTCAGTGATAGAGCACTCCTGAGTTCAATACTTAGTACCACAAAAAAATAAAACAAAAAGACCCACATTCTCATTTATTAATATTATAGTAGAAGCAGATTTTGCATCCACATGATTCACATTTTCATAAAAAATCTTGACAGTAAAAATTATAAATTTGTTCCTTGATCATACCTCATAATGAATATTAACCCCTTTGCATTATAAGCTATAACCTATAAACACATTATGACAGCATCTCTGAAAGTCCCTGACTTTTAAACCAGAGAATAATGAAATATTTTAAATGTCTTCTTAAGTACATAGATATGTTTCTTAACAGTCTCTTAGAAAAGACTGATAGACTTCTTTGGCTTCAATTTGTTGAATTATTAGCAATGAGATGACTGGCAAAACCCAAAGTAATAGTCTTGTATCTTTCTTAAACCACTACTCCTAAATCTGCTTTCTTTATTGATATAATGGGGGGAGAATTAATTTTAAAAGGTGGTGACTATTGATTACTTAATGGAAAAAGATAGTGTAAAAAACGCTGAAGGAGTCTATTCTTCTGTGCCCTCCTGTGCAATAGGACCCATTATCCAGTAGTGGAAATCATTCCATAACTCCCATTAATATTTGATAGGCAGGAGGCAGGCACAATGTAGACTACAAAATTGACATAGGAGTGGGCTACAATAGGCCATAAGAATATTTTAGGTCTATGAAAAGGTAATAGATTTCCCCATGTCTGGATTGTTTATAAGCAGGAGAACAGCACTCTCAATTCCCTTCTGTGATGCCCGAGCAATGACAGCCTGCTACAAATGCCCAGTAGGCAAGGTGAAGTAGTTAACACTTTGGGCAGTGTCTCTAGGCCTAAAATGTCTTGGTATTTTCCAGTGTGGGTCTCAATTTCAGGCTCTCTTCCTCTCCTCTTACCACAAGCAAGAAGGGCTGAAGGGCTTATTCAGCAGGACTGGCAAGTCAGTGAGAGGCGTTAATTGTATCTAACACAGCCATCATCCTTGGGGTGATAATCAGCAGCACAGAGTCTATCAGCTCACCCCTTGTCACATGTCAGGATCTTTTAATTTCAGCTCATTTTAAAAGGAAGCCAGGAGTTTTAAAGATAGCTAGTGGGGAGACATGAGTATTAGAGTGCTTCTAAGGACTAGGGGCCTTTGAAGCTGACTTAAGCTGAAATGGGCTATGATTTCTGGAAGGACAATACAAGCTCCTATAGATTACTGACTCCCATTATTACTTTTACATTCTACTGGGTTATTTTTTCAGTACCATTGGCTTATTTTTAAAGTATGATAAACTTGAAATGAGATAAAGTAGCTAAGATAGGACATAAAGGTATACAAAGACCAGATAACTACCATCCCAAACAATGCATAAAATTAAGTAGAGCGTAAAGAAATAACAATTTTTTGATTCAATGACTAAAAAATTTTGAAAATGTGTTGAAGAGATCCACATACTTGGTAGCATGTCAGGATTGTTTGTAATTACCTGCCTAGAATGAGTTGCACAAGAATAAAAATTTAGCTTTGTAAGGGAAAAGGTATCCAAGGGAACAGTCTCTTATTAACATATTGAGCTTTTTCTTAAAACCAGTGAATGAAATTGACCTAGAGGTCCCATTATAATTCCATGTGAAATGTGGAAAAATTCAGTTTTACTCACAATTTTAGATGGTACATGCCTTCAATTTATTAATAGATCTATGTATATGCATTCTCTTTCTCCACCTAGTAAATAATTTCAAAATATCAAGATTTAAGAATAGGAAATGCAACTGCGTTCATTTTTTTAATGAAATTTGATCTCTGATTGTGCATCTACTCATAAATGTGTTCTTTGTTTTATCATTGCTATTTATTGGTTGGTTGGTTGATACTACTGCCATTACCTGCTAGAAGTAGTGTTTAGCTCATTTAAAGAAGGTTCAGTCTAGAATTCACAGATTCTTCAGGGGCTACCCTCAAGAGTAAAAGTAATTCTCTAAGTTAAAAATAATTTAACAGAGATTTTTCTCCCAGGTGCTAAACATTATGACATAAAGCATAGGAAGACATCTTATCAACTATAAATATAAAAAGGTTAATAATATTTATAACTTCAATGTCTTTGATCTTCCAGGGAAGAGTTTTTTATAGCCTATATATGCAAGAGACAGTGCTTATTAAACTATAATGAAATGTTGTTATGATTTTCAGTCGTGAAAGTCACAACCCCTAAATTTCCTTGCCTTTTCTTTTCCAATTTTTTAGCGCAGCAGCAGTTTTGGGAATTTTGATCGTTTTCGGAATAATTCCATATCAAAACCAGATGATTCAACTGAGGTTAGTATTTTATTCTATATTTATAAATGTTATGCACATACTTTCTAACATTATGAAAACAGTACTTTTGCAAAGTAAAGTATGAAAAATAAAAACATTTTTAAATCATAGCGTTCCCATATTTTTTGGAATAAATGAACAAACAACATGATACCTCCTATCATACTGGGCATTAAGGTAAAAACTAAGATGGCTAAAAGATGTTCAGGAAGGTAAAATATGAATATAAGAAGATAGTTGCAATTTACAGTGACACTGAAAATTCCAAATTTCCTGAGCACTTCCATCATAATACGTGTGTGTGCGTGTGTGTGTTGTTGTTGTTGTAATGGTTTTAAATTAGGAATTGATTAAGTGGCTTAGCTGTGAATTTGTTAAGGAGAGCATACAACTACTCAAATGCACCCTCAGAATCCTACTATATTCATTGATATGTCTCATCAGTGACCATTACATACACATCTGTAAACCATGCACACTTTTAAGCTTAAGAAAGCTTCCCATAAATTACATTTATAAAATACTATGTTAATAATGCCAATAATATATATTTAATTGAGCATTTACCATGTGGTAAGAATAATATAAACACTTTCCTTACCTACAACATAGAAACTATTATATTTCTATCTTACTGTTGAAGAAGTATTCTTGCTTCATGGAGTAAAATTACTTTTACATTTCAGAGTTAGTAAATGACAAAGGCAGAACTCAACCTCTTCTCTGACTCCAAAGCTTGCCATTTTGTTATACTATCTCATTAGCTAGGGATAACCTGTGATGTGTGATTAAAGAAAAGTACAATAACTAATAAAAGAATAGAAAGGAGGCATACATGCTGAGAAAATTAAAAATACATATTTATCATTTTGCCTGACTCAGCAACCTCACCAATGACGCTTTATTTTAAAGTAACAGATATTCCGCACAAAAGAAATGGAAATAAATTGATAACAATGACCATTAGTAATTCATAAATACATCCATTCATATATATATATGCATGAATATATATATATATA